GCCGCCACCCGCCGTCGGCTGCCCTGTCCCCGCCCTTGCGTCTCCCGCGCGCCGCTGCCCTGTCCCCGCCCGCACGCCGTCCTCGCCAGTCGCCGCCCTGGACTCGCCGCGGCGACGGACGAGCGAGCTCCACGGCAATAGCGGACGAGCGAGCTCCGCCCTGTCCCCGCCCCCGCGTCATCCCTGCCAGTCGCCGCCCGTGCGCCGTCCGCTCGTCGTCCCCGCTCGCGCCGCCTGTGCGCCCGTGCGCTGTCCCGCCCACGCGCCGCCGCCCGCTGCCACCGACACCCACCACCGACGTCCGCCGCTGCCGCTGCCGACGCCGACGCCGGCCGCCGGTGTGAAGGGAGAAAGATGGGGAGGAGAGAGAACAGGAGATGGGGTAGACAGGGGTAGTTCAATGGCATTTTGGTGTAAATACCCTAAAAAATTAAAGGGTAGTGGGTCTTTTGGGGTGGAGTGGAGCTGTGGAGCAGCAAAAACCCAGCTCCACCCCTGTAGTACAAATTTGTGGAGCAGCTCTGCTAACTCCGCTCTAGAAAGTAGAGAATCTGTACCGTTTGGCACAGCTCCAGCTCTAGGTAAGTTGGAGTTGAGAGCTGGAGCTGCCTTAGCTTCAGTGCGAAGCCACCTGTGTAGATTAAGAGCAGGTACCATAGCAGGCTATAAGCCAGCTGTAAATATATTTTAAAAAAATAAATGATGAGAGAGAAGAGCAGCGGGCTACAGATTTGTAGCCAGCTGTAGCACGAACTCCAAGACGCAGTGTGTGTATGACTGGTGGGACCAGGTATTAATAGTGTAGTATGTAACTATTGTATGGATGAGCTATTAGATTGGCTATAGATGAATTGGAACTAGTAGTTGGCTGTACTGTTAAACTTGCTCTAGTAGTACTATCTCCGCCACAAAATAAGTGCAGCCGTGAAAATCCGTGTCCAATGTTTGACCGTACGTCTTATTTAAAAAATTCATGAAAAATTTTAAAAAAATTAATCATACATAAAGTACTATTTATATTTTATATCATCTAATAACAACAAAAATAGTAATCATAAAAAATTTTGAAATAAGATGATAAGTCAAACGTTGGAGATGAATAGTGTAAAACTGTATTTATTTTGGGACGGAGGGAGTAATAAGTTTATTAGTTGCAAAATTGGTCTTTTGATCATGTGCTTGTTTTATTTGTTTCATGTCCACTTGTGTACAGGAATTATTTGTGGTTCAATTCAAAGTGAACCATGGTCTTAATATGTTTTATTGGAAAAGAAAAAATAATGGCTAATTACTAGACGCTGGCGCTAATTGCTAATTAAGTTGTTGTTTCTCTTTCAAGTTTGACAACGGCGTCAAATCAAGCTGCATATTCACGCGTCGCGATCTTGTGATGTGGCAGCCGTTAGAATTATCTGATATTTGGATCTGTACGTAGTTCAGCCTTTTTTTTTCTTTGAAAACATAGTTCAGCCTAGCTAGCTGCCGTCAATAAATAAAGGATGAGAAGGGCACGCCGTGTAGCTTACAACAATAATGCTAATATATTTTTTGTACATCTTAATGTTGTCTTTTGCTACGATTTGGTAATATTAAGCTAATTAATTGCTTGTCCACGACATGCAGTATATTCTTGAGAAACGGAATGCTTTGACCAGAACTTAGTGGTTGTTTTTTTTTCTGATTAAGATATATATTATATTTGGGTTTCCATTAACATGTTTTCAAACTACTAAATGCTGCATTTCGTACCAAAATTTTCTATATAAAAGTTGTTTTAAGATATCACATAAATATACCTTTTAAGTTCATAATAATTAGAAATTAACAATGCGTTAATGATTTTCTTATTTTTCGTGGTCTAACTTTATCTTCAGTATAAACAAGCATCACTTATTATATGCAGGAGGCTTTGACATAGGGAGGCTGGACCAAGTTCCTGAAAATCGCCAGGTTCGGCCACTACGCACGTACGCACCACCATAGTCATCATATAATTGTTTTTGAAATGAGCAGCATTATTATTTGCTTAATCGATCTCCAAAGTCCAAATTATCTAGCATAGTTATATATCCTCCATGCGTTGCATGGCAAAGGCCAAACATGCCACGCTTGTGAAGGGGCAGGCCCTGTGCTGTGCTGCCAGTTTCTTTCCCTCGTATGATCAAAGGCTGGTTTGTTCAGGCATGCAAGAGAAAGGCAAGGGGGACTACATGAAACCAGAATACGGCATCGATCACATGCGTTTGTTCAGATTAGATACCTCGAAAGAAAGAACAGGGAGGGAAGATATGTAGCAGGGTTGGCAGCTTTGGCCGGTTCAGCATCAAATCTCTGTCTTTTGGCTCCATTTACCGTGATGATTGTTTAGTTTCGCAAGAATTATAAATTTTTAAGTTCCTCTCTTAGCTCCTTAACACTGATAGTCATGTTCAGAGTAATGTGTATTAGTACAACCTTTTGTGCTCAGTCTCGTAGAAATTAATCAGATTTTTTTATGTCCGAACCTGTTATATTCGACCAGCTCTTTCAGGGTAAAACAAGTGGGATTCATCATAGCAAATACAAAACGACACTACCAAGCGAATTCATATCCGCAGGCAATTTCTGTGTGACGCCATGCGTCGCATCGGTCGATTGGTCGGTGACTTGTGACCAGAAAACTCTCAGTTAATTACCTCTCAAAAAGGAAAGAAACGAAGAACTCAAGTTAACTGCCATGAACAGAAAGGCATGGCACGGCATGGGCATTGCATGCATCAAATCCATCAATGTATGATGTATCTCAGATTTTTTTGGACAACAGAGGCGAGAAATCTGGACGGTTTGACGGTCGCCACCGTTCCCTAGCAGTCGGCAAGTCACTCTCCTCGATACAAATGTACATGTATGTCTCTCTCCCTTAAACTGTAGTATAAATACGAAATAATAATGTAATATATACACGTACAAATTATCTTTTTTCTAAACCGTCCATAGTAGAGTCGCAATCGACATCTCTCGTCTTAATAACACCAGATATGCAAATCTCCTGTGTGTTCTCGATTGATCAATTAGCCTGGATTAGAAAAAAAATGACCAGAACCTGTTAAAAGGCCACCTGGCGTCCCACTGGTCATGACCAGTTTCGGAACTCGGAAGTATCGAATGAATAGAACATCTTTGTTTTTGTAGCGTAAAAACAGTACGGTTGATAGATCAGCCGCTGCTAATTGCCATTATGCTCTGCTGGTGCTGGACGTACACCTTCACATGGAGGCGAAATCAGAGCTAGCACCGCGCGGCGCCATGATTTTTGTACGGTGTCCATGTCTTCCGGGCAAGGAAAACAATAAGGAAAAGGTGTAGGAATACTTATGTAGGAGTAATCTCTTGTTTTATTTTGCCTATTGCTCTTTTTACTTTGTTTCTCCTTGGACAGCATATGGACTGTGGATGAACTGGGAGGAGTAGTGGAGTACCATGTTGTGCAGAGTGAAGAACACATGTGAGTCGATCAGAGATGGAGGATTGCAACAATTGATGATGAATGAGCACAACTTTAATTGATCGATTCAATGATTGTATAGAACAAAATTGTAGGTCCGCGTGAATATATTCTTAGAAGACGTATATAGGATGTACCATGCATATGTCTACCTATTTTTAGCGATAAATGGTTTACATGGACTCATCATAAAAAAAGTTACTATATGAAGAAGATTATAGGGTATCTTACATCAATTGTCAACTAATAAATCGAGTTTATTATGAAAATAACCAATATGTCAAGTTTATAATCCTCTCGTCTTATTCTTTCCCCTTACCATCGTTGCCTGTTTTGGCATAGTTTTTAATAGGGTTCTTCTTTTCTTCAACCATCCCAATTGCACGAAAAGTATGGGTTCACGAGGGCATACATAACATTCTACGTTAGTCATGATGTAGCCTCCTTATCCTATGACACGTCGTAGGGCCTAGCGATGCTGAGATATAGAGTGATAGTGTCCCGACGTATTGGGTTCTGTCTTTTAATACACCTCCTTTTCGTTAACAAATAGACAAGTGCCACCTCAGATAAGGATTTGTTACAACCAAGTATATATATAGTTGGGGACTTGAGGTGCTAAACTAACCTTTTAAGGGTGCAAATGAGCTATGTATAAATATTTTTAAAGGTGCAAATGAATCATTTACCCCCAAAATTACGGACAACCTGCCTAGAATGAACGTTCCAACGATATTTTCATCACCTTTAAGAGTGTGTGTATATAATCATTAAAGCAGAGTAAATATCCGCTCAAAAAAAAGCAGAGTAAACATATAACAACAAGTTTAAAGGTGGCTCCACAAATACTACTCGCTCCATTTTTAACAACAGAGGACTCCGTTGCTTGTCCATTTATCTTATTTAAAAAAGAATTACATAATTATCATTCATTTTTTAAGTTGTTTTATCATCGAAATTATTTTAATCATGATTTATATCTTATACATTTGTATACAAGTTTTGAACAACACGAATGGTTAAATGTGTGTTGAAAAATCAACAGCATCATCTATTAAAAGAATGGAGGGAGTACAAAAATATCCAAATGGATTTTTAAAAACCAGTTCAAAACAAAAACCGGTGCCAAAAGAAACCTCAAAACAAAACCGGCTTCAGTGCTTCACGCATCGAATCCAGCAGCGAATTAGAAAACCAGCCAGAGCCGAGGCGAGGCAAAGCCAAGCCAGCCCAGCCAGGGCCAGGGCAGCAGCATCTCCGTGGCCCACGTGGCCCCCCTCCTCCTCCTCCAGCCCCCGCGCGGTAGGCGACACGGACGCCGACGGTGGGGCCCACTCGACATCCCCAATTCCTTCCGCTTGGCTCCCTCGTGGGCCCCACCCCCACCACGCTGGCCTCCCTCCTCCCTCCCCCGCTATATATAAACCCACCCCCCCGACCCGCCTCACGCCCGCTCGCCCACCCACCTGCCCCCCCCCCCCCCCACCTCCCCCGCGCCCCGCCCGCCCGCCCGCGCGCCCCACACCGAGAGGCGCCGCGCCACCATCACCACCCACCCCGCTCCTCGCGCCGCCGACGCGCCACCCGCCGGCGACGGCGAGGACCGCGCCGCCGGTGTCATCGTGCCGTGCCGATCCCTCCCCCGGCGGATCCACGGGCTGAGCCGATCCCGTCCGTGGAGAGGAGAGGAGGAGGGGAGGGGGAAGGGGAGAGGGGGGGAGATGGAGAAGTACGAGGCGGTGAGGGACATCGGGTCGGGGAACTTCGGGGTGGCGCGGCTGATGCGCAACCGCGAGACCCGCGAGCTCGTCGCCGTCAAGTGCATCGAGCGCGGCCACCGGGTTGGTTTTTTTTGTTCGTTCGTTCCCCCTTTGATTTTACTTTTTTTTGGGGGGTTCTTTTTAAGGATTGAGGTGGGTTGATCGGTGGGTGGAGGATTGATTGCTGGGTTGGATTATGACGGGTTTTTTTTCTTCTGGGATCTGTGCGTGGCAGATAGATGAGAATGTGTACAGGGAGATCATCAACCACCGCTCGCTGCGCCACCCCAACATCATTCGCTTCAAGGAGGTTCGTTCGTGCCACGGATTTGCTTTTATCCCATTTTGAACGTTTTTTCCCCTGTTTTATATCAAAAGTTGCTTGATCCTAATTACAGAGTGGCTCCAAATGATGCAGATAAGGATGCACTTTTTTTTAATTCTGAGAACCGTTAAATTTTAGTTTGAGAGTTGCTGATTTCTCTAAACTTCATGCAGTGACGGAATCTTCTGAATTGATGTTAAACAGCTGCATTTTTGTTCCTTCCTTCCTTTTCCCCCTTTCATTTCTTTCGTTATAGTCTATCTTACCCTTGCGTCTCTGTACCATCTACACACGTATGAATGATTCTAGTGGCATGGTTGCATGTGCTTTGGGTTAGACACAGATTTATCTGTGTCTTTTTTTTTCTTTTGCACAATTTGAAACATAAACGCCAGGACATCTTTCTTTTTTCCAATGTAGGAGTAAATTGTGAAGGGACGAAGGAATCGTGTTGTCCTGTTGGCTTTACCTGTTCCTTCTTTCAGAAAAGAGGGGCACTCTGTTATTAATTGTTTTTTTTTTGGGAAAAATCCTGCAGGTGATACTGACGCCAACGCATCTTATGATTGTCATGGAGTTCGCAGCAGGCGGGGAGCTGTTCGATCGAATCTGTGATCGTGGACGGTTCAGTGAGGATGAGGTCCCGTGATTTATTCCTGAGTTTTACTACTTTATAACCCTGTCTTATGTTGAACGAGCAATATTAATATTCTTTTATTCTGCTTGATGCAGGCCAGGTATTTCTTTCAGCAGCTGATCTGTGGAGTGAGCTACTGCCATCACATGGTATGCAACAAACAGTTAACTCATTCAAGAGGACCAATTCACCATCTCTAAGCAATAATTACTACTGTACCCTGTTTCAGTTTTATCATTCAGAGTGTTGGTAGTTTTCATTTGATTTTATAACTGAGCTAAATCTTTATGAGTTTCTAATTATATTATTCTGGTGTCAATCTTCCAACTACAGCAAATATGCCATAGAGATTTGAAGTTGGAGAATGTTCTCTTGGATGGCAGCCCAGCTCCACGGCTTAAGATATGTGATTTTGGCTACTCCAAGGTTTGTTGCCAAACCCACTGTCATTTTAGCAATCTTGGAGCTATTGGAATCTCTGTAGATTCTCAGAATAATGTCTTTCCGTTCTTGATCAGTCATCAGTATTGCATTCAAGACCCAAATCAGCAGTGGGGACGCCAGCATATATCGCACCAGAGGTGCTATCCCGCCGTGAGTATGATGGAAAGGTGAGTTATTTTGACCCCTTGTTGGTTTCTGACATGCATTTCATTTTGTTTCTTTTGAATGATTATTTGTTGATGGAAAGGTGAAAAGAACCCCTAGTAGGTAGTGAAATAGAGCGTTTATTTGTTTGGTGTCTGAAACAGAACTCCTTATCTGGACATGTTATGTGCAAATAATGCAAGTTGAACTAAAAAGTGTTTTTTGGTCAAACTGTGAGAGTAGCGAGGCATAATATTATCGGTTCTCCAAGCTTTTTTAGGTGAATAAAGTAGCCAATGCCTCTATTATAGTTTAACTTCTCCATCAAATCCACATAATAGATGCACCTCTTCCAATGATTGTGACATTCCATATATTCAGCTCCTAAATGGCTAAATTCGTTAGAAATCGGGTTGAATGATCCTTCACAAAATGAATGGGTTCCTTCATACAATTTACATGATCACTGAGAGTATCTTAATAAATATCCTACTTGTTAGTTACTCATTAACTTGGTTAATGTTCACTAGCTAATCAAACCATACTATTTATTATTGTTTTTTATTTTTTGATTATTAGTGGTTAGTCTGCAGATCTAGTACTAGTATATATGCAAAACCTCTTTTGCAACTGTTGGTGGACAGCCTTGTTTGGTCTAATTAGGTGGAATTCACAGCTATTCTTTGATAGTGCATTTCATAATTAGCTACAGTCACAAATATTGGACCAGTAGAGGATCTGAAATCGAGTGATGCTTCTGATTTGGATGAGTAGTCATTGTCTGCATGAGGTGCTCAAACATCTTCTGTTTGGTTTGTTGAGGCTTAATGTACCACAAAGGATGTAGAACCTTTGATTCAATAGTTCCACATGTTATTGCCTCCTTAATTGGTCCACAGGAATATATAGAGAATGTTTCACTGTGCTTCATGATAAAGCCAAAAATGACATTTTGATTCAACACACATGTTCAATTCAGTAAGTTTTCACTTGAAATATTACCCCTTGAATATTTGGGTAACTTCAACTTTTTTTTTATCCCTGGGAAGTGGGAACCCATGTGCTAAAACACCAGTTTTCAAGGTCAAACTCGAGATCATTTTGTACATTTGCTGAGTTTTTAAAAGGTGAAATAGAAACATTACCCTGAAACTGACCTACAATTTTTTTTCTTCTTCTTTTTATTCTTCTTTTTTTTTCTTTTTTTTTGGGGTGGTGACTTCTCAATTTTGAAGCAACTAAGTTTTCTTAGTTTTACTTGAACAAGGTCAACCAAAATGCATCATTTTGTATAACTAAACTGTCCTTTTTATATTATTGTACCTGACTAACTGCTTGGCTGACTATTGGGTTTCATGCATGTCATCCTACACTGGATGTGCTCCACATGTTCTTTAGTATTATCGCACTGACATCGATTATAAATAGTCTAAACCACCCATCAGAACTTATTGGCTGCTCTCAATTCATTACTATACTGTATATCATTCTTACTACAATACAAGGAACCTGTGTATCATTCTAAACTTCAATGCGACAGCAGAACAGAACTGCAACAAATAAAGGTGATCTGGTCAAACAAGCATACTCCTAAGTCCACTGAACACTGGTGTTGGCACCTCACTACCCTGAAGCCTAGCAACCTTGTGATAAAACCTTTTAACATAAATGGCATTAAGCCCAAACTGTGCTTTACTGTCACAACATGACCTATTCATCACTGAGTTCTGATAAAATCCTAGTAGTTCTGAACCTTTTCACTTATTTTCTCCTGAAGCATTTCACTTCATTCTACTGAATGTTAGTAGAATTACGATCAGAGAGTATGGTCCTACTCATTGGCAACAATGGGCTTGTTGATGTAGCTTGCAGATGTATGGTCCTGTGGTGTGACTCTTTACGTCATGCTTGTGGGAGCCTACCCATTTGAAGACCAGGACGACCCCAAGAACATTCGCAAAACCATTCAGGTGACAAGCTGAACCCTTAAGTCATTCATATCCATCCAATTTCTGCAGGTTTTCTTTTTGTGACTCGCTTCCTCATTCCAGTCGCTGTTGTTCATCCACAGAGAATAATGTCAGTGCAATATAAGATACCAGATTACGTCCACATATCTGCAGAATGCAAACAGCTTATTGCCCGCATTTTTGTCAACAATCCATTGAGGGTAATATAACTCAAATTTTATTTCCATTTTATTTTGAGGAAACCATGGTGTATCTGTCCTTAACCTAACATGTTATTAACACAATAATTTGAATGTTGTCCAGAGAATCACGATGAAGGAAATAAAGAGCCACCCGTGGTTCTTGAAGAACCTCCCCAGGGAGCTCACGGAGACTGCGCAAGCCATGTACTACAGGAGGGACAACTCCGTGCCTTCCTTCTCAGACCAGACCTCAGAAGAGATCATGAAGATTGTTCAAGAAGCAAGAACCATGCCGAAATCATCCAGGACAGGCTACTGGAGCGACGCGGGTTCAGACGAGGAGGAGAAGGAAGAGGAAGAGAGGCCAGAAGAGAACGAGGAAGAGGAGGAAGATGAGTACGATAAGAGGGTCAAAGAGGTCCATGCGAGCGGGGAGCTCCGTATGAGCTCACTGCGCATATGAAAAAGTTTGTGTGCAGCTATTGTGTAGATAATCCGGCTTACTATGGAACTGCGGTGTATGCAATTTTCGCTGTAAATTTGCTTCTGTTTGGCGTTTCTTCGTGTAACATAACTTACTTGGGGGCGCTTGGACTTCAATTGTCTGATTATGTTTTGTAAGTACCTACATATTAAGCGTATGCTATGTACTTGGTGAGAAACTTCTAGCACCACATGTCAGCAATTGTACAGTATATTATTGGAATACCGCAGCTTTGCCATTGCCTCCAAAACTGGCCCTATACATCTGTCCAACAAACTGCAATTCCACAAGCAACAGCCAAACATAGCAATTTGCAATTTTGCATTCCTTTAGCCATGCCAGCTCTATCCAGGATGACCTCATACAAGCCTGGGGGCCAGCTCTATCAGGATGACCTCATACAAGCCTGGGGGTAGAGCATTCATATAAGCCTGGGGGCCAGCTCTATCAGGATGACCTCATACAAGCCTGGGGGTAGAGCATTCATATGAACCTTGGATGAGAGTATCCAGGCAACCATTCCTTTAGCCCTCATACAAGCCTGGGGGTAGAGACCCTCATACAAGCCTGGGGGTAGAGCATTCATATGAACCTTGGATGAGAGTATCCAGGCAACCATTCCTTTAGCCATGCCAGCTCTATCCAGGATGACCTCATACAAGCCTGGGGGTGAGCATTCATATGAACCTTGGATGAGAGTATCCAGGCAACCAGACAGGCCAATGGCAAATTTAGGCCATCTATATTAGAGTTGCTGGAGCCTGGACCCACTAATTTAAATCGAAAAATAACAGCAAACGGAGGAGCAGAATTAGTCAAATTAAAATGTAGAAGAATACACAACTGGGTTAGACCGCATCACCGTGGTCTTCACAAAATATGTTGCATTGCCCGCTACAGAAGCATGAATTTCAATGATTAGCATGCTCTTCAAAATGAAACAGTAGTTACAATTTACAAATTATCTCTGCTGAATCGACGCACTGAAAATTTTGTAATGTCAATTAGTAACAACAGTTTCAAATGCTGATGTGTAATTATTTATGTTAAGATCAACTAAATGCTATGGAGATGGCAAATCAACATGTACAGAGCTAGCAACATATGAGATCAGAACTGTACTGTGACGTGTGTTTGCCTGGTTAGCAACTTAAAGCATTTCAGTTAGCATTGGTTAGCAGCACTAGTGTTAGAATATATACTTACTAACTCGAAAAAAGTGAGGTGCTATTGTAAAATTAGTCACCTTTTGAGATCACAACAAAAACATCGTCTAGCGACCACTTCCTAATCTCAGACTTCTGTTCTGGATTAATGATTGCCTGGTCATCGTTGGCAAGGCGGTAGCCAATGACAACCTCGTCTCTTTCACGAGCCCTGACCATTATATCAAAGAAACTCAATTCCTCTTGCTCATAGAGGTAAAACTCAGCTGAACGTATGCACATCTCGTTGCCCTGTAGCAAGCAAAGAATTACCCCAATCAGATGCAAGGCAAAACAATATGGGTAAACAACCGTCTTTGTGGAATGGAAAATCTATTACTCTATGTTAGCTGAACAAAGCAGTGTTTTGAGCATGGTTGTGAAAATGCATTTGCAATATTTTAAAAAAGCATGCTGTAATTTTTGTAGTACCTCCTCGGCAAAAAGTTCTTCAAGAACTCTGTTGATTTGTTTGTCCTCTGCTACCATTGCTAATGCCATGCTGACAAGTTCATTTGATAGAACATAGTCGCTGATTTTGGAGACAGATACAAGGTTTCTGGTTCTGGAATCCAGAATTTCACTGATAATTATTGATTTATCTGATGCGTGCTGCATCTCCCGAATCCAGGAGCTGTGACAGAAGCCATTGTAACGCAGAGGTGATTTTAGTTCCTTTGATGGAAGACGTTTAGACTGTAGAAGAAGGCACGCATTAGTAATGCGAATGTTGTGTATCAGTTATACACTTGTACTACCAGGCTTCTTGTTAATTACCTGAATGTCGCGAATTAGAAGAAGTGTAGCTAAAGAACGTGAATCAGAATGTACGATGGAATCCTCCACTGACTCATCTGCAAGAATTAAAATCTGTCGTTTCAAAGTTAGCACTGGGTTTATTTACAAAAACTGTAGATCAGAAAGGTGTCTATGACAGTACTTAAATTATACTATATGCAAAGAAACAGTAATAGGCTCCAGATTTTTAATTTCATTTATCTATAACAGATCTAAACATAAGATGCGATTATAATTTAGCAAATATAAAATTGATAAATGGTCTAATAGCATGCATATACGTTACTATGTAACATCAATAGTGAACACAGGATCATATTGGATTTGGGAACCTAAATACTGAGCAGTATAGGGCAATAATAGGTTGTTCAAACATTTTGAGTCACATGGGCCATTTCATCAATTATCTCATTTATTAAACAGAACTTATCAGAATGTTCCTATCTGTACAATATATACTCACAGAATCGAATGTCTCCAGAGGCAAACTTTCTAAGTGCCGCCTGATGACGGCATTCCCTTCTTTATGTACAAGTTTAATGTTTGTTAGTCCATAAATATCCATACCACCGTCAGTCAGTTTTCTCTCCCTCTCCTTCTCTGGCACCTCGTTAAACATCCATAATTCAGAACCTGGAGCGAGAAATGCTTCTAGAACCTGCACAACAGCACTGACATTCATTTCCAAAGAAGTGCTTAAACAGGACTCAACCATGGTAAAACAGTTCCAAATCAAATTACCATTATCATGTCATGAATGTCACGTCGCCAACCGCAGAACAAAATTTTCTCTGGGTATTTAGGAGGGGTTGGGATATTAGGTAGAAAACCCTTTCGCACCTGACAAGAGATACCACACAAGATTAAAAAATAATTTTAATCTGGGCAAGTATGACTTGCATAACAGTTGGTACAAGAGAAAATATTATACAACATCAAGTTAGAGTTCAGCGAATCCACCTGTGGTAGAGAGGCAGGAACATAAGTATCGTCATCTTCTGCTATAACAAGGACCTCATCACCTTCTTGCAAAACATAATCATTATCAGGATTCATTAAGATTTTTCCAGCTTTTGAAGCAATCTTTACTCCACATGGAACAGCGTCAGGAAATGAGATTAAGACATCCCCAAATCGCATGCCATCTAATTCTGGCCATCTTTTAATGTAGAACTCTGCGTTTTCAAACCCCAAAATATCCTCCCATATCTGTAAAAGCATATGATATTTGATGGGTTACCATCCTAAGATGAATAGCAGGACCATCTAACAGTGCATCTCAGAAGGAAGGTTCAAATTTCCTTCCCTTGTTTGAGAACAATGGTCAAATTGAAAGGTACCTGTGCCAGGCCTGGTTGGAGTGCACATTGTATCATCAAACGTCCAATCACATCATGGGCAACAACTGTTTCAATTAGTTCACCTCCAACCAGTTTCACCAAAGGCTCGTTGTCAAGGTCACTCATCTCTACAACAACATGTCCCCTTAAACCCTCTTTAACTCCAGTCAGGCTCAGGACCACACGTAAAGCCCGTGCATCACTCTATGTGCAACAAATAATGTAAGTATATAAGCATGTTAACTCCAAAACAGTAAGCTATTAGAAGAAAATACTAACTTGGTCTGCATTTTCATCGGATGCTAAAACAATAATAGCACGTGCTTTAGAAACAGAAACCTGTGTAAATAAAATAACGTGTTAGGCCTAATATAAGATATATTTATATGGTATTACAAGAAATCTTCCAAAGGGATAAATTTATAGAGCAAGCACAAGAAGACCAGAAGAGTTGCTTGAGCTGCTACCTTCTTCAAATCAGCTAGAATTAGAGGACTGCCACTTCTACATATTACAGATGTTCCCATAAAGTCAAACTCTAGCTTCCCAATGTCCATCTCCATTTCTTCCTTGTCTCTTTCTGCCAGAACAACAACGACACCACCACCAATACTCTTGTTTGCTATAGCTAGCTGCTTCAGGAGAGAGCCCTGGTCCAAGCAAACAAAGTTCAGTGCTCCCAGTCAGATTGGAGGAAATCAGGACGGAATACAAAATTTAACTACAGTGCATACAATGACTAAAACATTGCAAAAAAATGCCTTGGTATCTCCTGTCAATTAAAAAAAAAGGACCAAGTTGACTCCCAAAGCTCCTTCATCTAAAGATTTTGATATATAGGAATAATCGAAAAAATCCTGAACATAATGGGAGTTTAATATGTTGCAAGCTGGATTCCTAAAGTATGTCCACAACGCAAACATAAGATATCATTTCTTACAGGATCATCAGGTCCCAATCAGAACACACTAATTTAAGGTCTGCTTGACTAATTTATTTGATAATTTGGAATGGGGAACAAAAACTACCTAAGAATTCAATACATAGCTTATAAGATCATTGAACCTAAAAATCCAACGGCAATTTCACATGACTCCATCATAAGTTCAGAACATTACCAACTTGTCGCTCCATCCGAGGATTAGTATATGGTTGACCTCTATCACCTCACTTTTTCCCTTGCGCCAGGAATCTACCTTCTCTGATATTGCATCTGACACAAGCCCAAGCATTGTGGCAAACACCAGCATACCCCCAGAGCTAATCGACACGGACACAATCCTTGGGCCCAGGCCAACCTGATCAGCATGGTTTCCTGAATCTGCCACAAAAGTCCATGAAAGCCAAAGAGCCTCCAGGAATCCACTGCCGCTGACAACATAAAGCGCAATCCCGCCAGAAGCAATGAGGATTATTGTGGCTAACAGGAGCGCAAGAAGCTTTGCGTACGGGTGTCCTGAGAAGAACACATCAACCTTATAAGCAATCCTCTTCTTCAGAGGCACTTCTTCCTCGGTGCTTCTTAGCCTAATGGAATCTGTGTTCCTTCGTCGAAGCTGATCAATGTACTTAACCAAGAATACAGGTATCGCAAAAACAAGCATTCTGCTGCAGGAAGCTAAATTCCAGTCCGCGGAGTTGATAAAATCAGAACCATGCTGTCCGTTAATCTTGAACGCCTCAGTAGTTGTCTTACAGTCCACAGTACTAACACTACAGCATGATCTGATCTTTTCCTGCCAAAACATAATGACTTCTTATCTGTAAGCAAAATGAATTATATCCTAATGTAAACCGATTAGTGCAACCAATCTTCATAGACCAAAGAGATATATACCTGGAGTACGGTAGCTTTCATCCACTGCCATATAGCCAAGGAAAAACTTATGACAGTTACAACCAGCATCTGCAACAGTACCAACTTGGCAAGTTAGTACTGCATCGGTTGGTACAGCCAAAGCTAGCGTTTTAATGACCAAACATATATAGCACAGCAGCTAGCTTCACTTACTAGTACAAGATACGGGGAGAGATCAAATCGCGGGGCGCGCTGCTGCGGCGGCGGCGGCGAGAGCGATCTCCTCTCATCCAGCAGCATCGGCCGCTTCACCACGGAAGCGAGGCTCTTCTCCTCCTCCCGCTGCGAGACCGACGCCGTCTGCGGCGGCGCGGCGGGGGTAGGGCTCCGGCTGTCGGCAGCAGCAGCAGCCGTCGTCGTCGGCGTCTGCTGCTGCGACCGCGGCGGCCGCGGCCGCGAGGCGTGCGGGCCGAGGAACGACGGGTAGCACCAGTCGCGGTCGAGCATGGCCGCCCCGCCGTTGGGCGCCGCGTAGGAGGGCTCGTCCACGGCCACGGTGAGCAGCCCCCGCGGCGCCGCGCCCGGCGGGAGCGGCGCTGTGGAGGAGCGGCGAACTAGGATGCTGCTGCTGCTGTTGCTGGTGCCCCATCTGTCGAACGCGGACGCGGCGGAGCCGGAGATGGTGCGCGACTTGGTGAGCTGCGGCCGAGCCGGTGGCCGCCGGGGATCGGGGCTCCCCTCTCCGCCGCCGCCACCGCTCGGGCTAGCCTCGCCGCCATCGCTCTCCGCCATTAGCAGCGAGCTCAAGCTCCCTCAACGCCCCAAGATTAGCAAAGCTCAAAGCTCCACTACCAAATTCCGGTTCAACTCCACGATTAAGCTATCCGCGCCCCCACTCCAAGTGACACTGACCCGTGGGCCACCCCGTGCTCAGCCCCACCTGTCAGTGACTCCAAGGAGTCGGCTTGCCCCTTTGACCAACGGAAGGCAGCAGTAACCGTAACCGTAACACTGGAGCAAACGGTAGACGGTGACGGAGACGGCGGGAGACGGCGGGCGGCGGCGGCGATCGATCGCGTCACGTGCGGGCCGGCCGCAAAGGCAGCCGAGCCGAGCCAGGCCCAGGTGGGCCCAACGATGCCGTGATCTGCCGCCTCGCGTGGAACAGCGGACACCGTGTCAACGGCTCTCTGTATAAAGTCTGCGCGGTGGGGCCCATTTGTCAGTGGGTGGGATCGCTGTGCGGCTGTTTGATGGGGGGTGCAGGGGATGCGACGGGGGACGGGTCGGCGTGGGGGGCATGTGAGGTTTGGGGGATGATCTACGCCGTCGGATGGTCCACTTGGCGGAGGGAGGGTGGATCTCCGCCGTCGGTTTGGAATCGCAGGAGCTTTGGGTTAGCGCTGCCCATGTTACGCCACCACGCGTAGGATGAAACAGGAGTATAATAAGGTCATTAGCGAGTTAACTGCTCCAACTATGGATAAAATTATTATGCGTCGGCATCAGGAGATCGGGCGATGGTCATGTGCTCGTGCACTGGTTTAGTAGCCTGGGGACTAAGGGAGACCTTTATGTTTCATGATTATTGCAATATTTCTCTCTTGTGTATGAGTATGTCAGGACAAAAAAAATTTCATGTTGCAAGGCATTAGACAAAATTCATAGACATATCTACGATCTCGTTTAATTTTTATTTGTTTACTGTCATCTAGAAAGACGTACAATGATTTCCATTACAACTAACATATGTCAATTTTATGATTCTCGCACAATTCTTTTGTTGACATGCACAAACACCTTGATCATGAAGTAAAATAAATTTCTCAAGCGAATGTGTGTTATATGTCAGGGCACAGGCAAGTTAACCAATGACAAATGCACATTGACACCTGATAATCCAAACACGTGGTCGTTTTTATGCGTAAGACAAATTTAGCAAAAAAAATCATTTATTTTTAACCACTATTTCTCTCTTTTATTGTCAGTATGTACAAAATTAGGCCATGTTTTTCTCCTCTCTCTCTATCTCTGTAGTTTTCCTAACTGCGAAATTCACTTGAGTTTTTTCGCCTAAAATAGCCCGACGAAAATTTCAATCAAAACGATTTAATTAATTGGTCTAAACAAATTAATTGCACCACCATTTTTTCCATGTTTGTTAATTGGAGTTTATTTGGTTTCTATATGATTTTCGGAGTGGGGATCAATTCCTTGAATTTCCTTTCAAAATGGTCCAAAGGTTCGAATTTTCCCAAATTTCCTAAAAGTCCAAATTCCATTTTTTTTTCAGAAAAAGAAAAACCCCTATATCTTCTTTTCCTTCCCCGATGCTAGGCTGATGCTCCCCCTTCGCATCTCAGCCCAAGGAGCCCAAGCCCGAGCCGCCTCTGCTCAGCTGCACCCCAGCCTCCTCCCAACCGGCCCATCTCGGCCTGCTCCCTGCCGGCCCATCTCGGCTCACCATCGCCACCGGCCCGCCGCGAGCCGCCCCCGACTCCGCCGCCGCGCTCGGCCCTAACCGCTCCGCCTTCGCCGCCGCTTCAAGGCAGCCGCCGCCGGTGAGCACCTTCGCCATCCCCTTCTCGGCCTCCGCACTCGCCGGCAGCTGTATCCAGAGCCTCAGATCGGAGTTGCGGCAACGGCGGCGGCGGCCACGATGGCCATCCGACACTACTGGCCGATGGCCGCGGCGGCCGTCGGGTTCAGGCTCGTCCTCGTGCTCTTCGGTGGGGATCTCCACCTCGCCTCTCGCCCCTCCCTCTCCCCCCAACATCCTCCTCGCAGGCTCCAGTTGTGCCGTCTCCGTAATCGGACTGATCGTTTGGTTCCTTGTGTGTTTTGCAGTGGCGGAAGGGTACTGGCTGAAGCAGGCGTCCATGTCGCCATATTCCGGTACCACACCCATCAATCTTGCTTGCTTAGCCTTTTTTTTACTGTCTCATGTATTTGCATCTGAAGTCGTGAATTGTTGAGCTTGGGATAGGGATGGAATTACTAAGAACATGAACCTTTTAAAGTAATTGACTGGGTGTTACCTTTACTGGTAAGTGCCATTAAGCTGAAGTGCTGCGAAGCAGCACCTAGTGGGAGTGATGGAGCCAGAAATTATCAAAGTGTAAGGCTAAAATAGGGCTCAACTAATGAGATATTGGTTTTCTCAAAAAAATACGTGGTGGTTTAAGAGGATTTAAGCATGATTTTGGAGGCAAGCCTAGGGCTCAAGGCCAAGCTGCCCTAGGCTTGTCTCCGCTAAGTGGTGCGTGTTAAGAAATAATACACGCAGCTACTATACCATGCTTAACAAAACGTTGTGCAGGTGCTTATCATTATTATAGGTTTATCCACGATGTTTTAGTTCGATCTATTTGAAATTTGTTTTTCTTGTAGCATGAACTGGAAATGAGTATTCAGCATGTTGAATGTTTTGTCATTCAGGTTCAATGTACCATGGTTCCCCTTTGCTTCTATCGCTTCTTGGCCCGTTGACTAACAAAAGTTGATTGATCCGTTGGCTATGATGCTTCTCTGGTTGTGTGATTGGTTGCACTGCTGCAGCTATACCTTGATACTATTGGTTTATTTCATTAGACCAACGTTTGAAATACTAATAACATCCTTATATTTCATGCTATCACAGGTCTGCTGGACATCATGTTCATGTTTATTGCAGGCAAATAAGTTGGTATGTAATTTATTCATTACAACTAGTATCTATGACTCTAGCAGTATTAGTTACTTGATTTTCATAAATGAAAAAGATTTTTACGATGGTGTTTATTATTATGTTAGCATGTAACTATTCAAACCAAATTAAAAAAAATCAAGCGCTACCTTTTGACTTTTGTTGGAGATCTTGTAATTTATAATCACTTACGAATGCAAGACAGTTTGATTTTTGTGGCTGTAGATTTTATAGCTGCCATGCTCATCCGAGCAACTGGCCATAGACTCAACATAACACGCAATAGAAGCTTGAATTCACTTGAGCTCACTGAGGCAGTGAGTAATTCAGGTGCGTCCTATATTCAGAATGCAGAATATGTTTTATTGGATGCTGACATTATTGTGCTTAGTTTGCTGACACCACTTTTCTACTTGTTTTACCAATGTAGTATCATACAAAACTCCTGTCAAATTTACAATATCAAAGCTTCAAGAGTTCGTTAATTCATTGAACTGTTGTTATTTGTTAAGAGCGCCAATTTGTCCTGCCGTAATAAAGAGATAGATGGAACTGCTATGAAACAATTCATTGTCGGATTAATTGATCAGTGGTACTAGCATATTACAAGGCGCAAAAGGGAAACACTATATATGAATCAAATTAGTTCTAATATTCTTATGATACTGTTCCTGCAGTTAACATAAGTGCAGGAGATATTGCTTCCCTCATATACTTGTGGAACCCCTGGGCGATAGTTACTTGTGTGGGTTCATGTACATCACCAATCGAGAATTTAATGGTTGTGATAATGATCTACGGAGCCTGTTCACGTAAGTGCTCTAAAATATGTTTTTCTCTTCAACATTTTTCTGGTATTTTTTAAAATTTCAGTAGAATTATTATTGTTCTCATTTGTCAAAGCATCAGTAGCCACATTTTCATGAAGATGATATCTATCTTTGAGTAACATAGAATTGAAACAAGTTTTATTGCTGCTTAAAACTTGAAATGCCTATAATTTTGTAGGTCTTGCTCCCCTTGCTGCCTTTGGATATGTTATGTCTACACATCTTACTCTTTATCCTGCAATTCTCATTGTACCGGTTTGTGCCACAACCTTTGTTTGTAGTCTTGTATTCATCTATTTGATCATATCTGCTACTTATCCGTATAGTCGGCTACTGAAAACAAGATTCCTTTTCCAGATCATTCTTTTATTGGGATATGGTCCAGATACTCCTCCAGCAAAAGTATTTCGTCTAAAAATATCAAGTGCCAGTAAAACTGAGGTACCAGACAATGATAGATTCTCCACCTCGAGAGATGTTCAACAGTTCATGTGGAAACCAGTATTCTACTTTGTATTGTGGATGTTTTTCTGGTCATGTTATGTGTTGCTATTGAGCAGCATGATTCTCAATAAAGTGGATGGTCTTCAGGAGATGTTTGAAAAGTAAGATACTTAACTCTTCAGTAGAATATGCTTCTTTGGTAGTCATGAAATTTTCTGTCAGAGTGAGACTGTGTGCTAGATTATGTTACTTTCCCCAAGTCAAGATGATGAGTCTTTAAAGGAGGAATGAGGACAAGCTATCTTAAGGAATACTATTCCTAGTATTACCGTATTTGATCTTATCCTAGTAATGTCATATTGCTCTATCCGCTCCAACATGTCAACTTTGTTCTTGTGCCTTACTTTCTATTCTTTCCATTGGAATCAACTGGTTTTTATCTGTGACTTAATTACCCATTGACTTGTACTGTGTTTATGTAGGACTTATGGTTTTATCCTCACAGTTAAGGACCTATCACCAAATATTGGTGTATTATGGTGAGTCTTGATCAAAATTTATAATAAACTCAAAGAGATGTTTCATTTGTCTCATTAAAGGTAATTATGCAGGTACTTTTTTGCTGAAGTCTTTGACTCTTTTAGGAGCTTCTTCCTTATAGTCATCAATATGAACATTGTTTTTATGGTATTGCCGTTGGCAATTCGTCTAAAGCATCGTCCATGCTTCCTTGCCTTCGTTTACACAGCAATTGTTGCAATGTTGAAATCGTATCCATCTGTAAGTACATCTTACATGATAATACCTATAAATTTAGTCCCTCGGCTTTGTAAAATCTCATCATGTTGTTTTTGTTTGTTTGTTTGTGCTATCCTAACTTTTTTCACAAGTTCAATGATACTGTATTATGATTTATTTTGAAGGTTGGAGATTCAGCTCTCTATCTTGGTCTTCTGGGCCTATTTGCTACTGAATTAGCAGGTGCTTAACATTTCTTTTTAACATATTTAGAATGATCCCTAGTCTTCTGGACAATTAATAGTTTACGTTTACACTAGAAAGCTAATGGTTTATCTTTACATCTTGCAGAGATGAAGTTAACTTTTTTCTTGTTTTTTGGATATATCGGAGTCTCTCTCCTTAGCCCAGTCATGCACAACCTGTGGATCTGGAGGGTATCTTCCTCTCCCTCCCTTTCCCTCTCTTTGTCTCATGTGTAATGTTGACGCTAAAGTGACAATCGTTTCAGGGGACTGGTAATGCGAATTTTTACTTTGCCACCGGATTGGCTTATACCTGCATTCAGGTAACCAATATGACTTGTTTTATAGTTCTTTGTGGTGCTATGCCCTTGCCATGTGTCATTGCACTACTTATCTATAATCATTCTTGTGTTTTACAAGTTCTCTAGACCGTGCTCTGAGTGTTATCACATGATGAAAAAAAAATCTTGTCTAAGCTACACTTTCCTTCCTAAATCTTGAATGAAAAGTATTTTTTGCTTCTGTTTTTGCAGACCGTGTTGGTTGTCGAGAGTGTAAGTTCAATGATAAAGCATGACAGGAAGCTAAGACTGCTTGTTACGGCTTGATCTCATTCTTTATAAGTTCAACAACTCTGATGCTTTAGTTTCTTGATTGTCCTCTTGGATGCCAGAGTTTGGAGTAGATGTTGTTTATAGTTTTTGTTGTATCTTGTATTATACCTCCCATATATTTGTAAAATATGGACCACGAATCATGTAACAAAGACTAGGAAGACGCGAGGTTTAATTTCCCCTGAACTGTGTACTTGATCTAGCATGGTGAGTTTGGTCATTGGCAGAAGTTGTATGATCAATTTTGTCAGGTCGAGATGAATTAACATGGCATGGACAGACTTTGATACCCCTGTTTACTCGTTGCTAAGGTGCCCTAATGAATGGAAGTTGGTCTTGGTCTTCTTCAGGGCAATTTATACTTTATAAGCCCCTTACTAGAAAAATTTAGAGAACTTAAAAAATCCATAAACCCCCTCTGCCACATAGTCCTCCAAGATTTTAGTTCAAATTATAATATGTGAGCGAGCCTGCTTCCATTTCAGTTCAAACTATAATTTATAGCTGGAGCTAGAGACTAACAGTTTTATGGGTCTTTTAGGGTGGAGTGGAGCTATGGAGCAGAAAAACCCAGCTCCACCCTCGTAGTTCATTTTCTAGGAGTAGCTCTGCCAACTCCACTCCAAAAAAAATGGATTTGGACCGTTTGGCACAGCTTCGGCTCTAGGTAAGTTGAAGTTGGGAGCTAGAAACAGATCTTTAGCTTTACATAAAAAGGGAGTAGAACCTCTTGGATTACATAAAAAGAGAGTAGAACCTCTTGGAAACAGATACTATATATACATTACTACATATAATTGTTTCTGGGAAGTAGCTGGTTGTTAGTCACGTTAATCTAGAAACACTGGTTTTTCTGCTTCTAATTTCAGTTTATTTTATTTTTTTAATTCTACAACTACATATTCAAATATTCTGAGAATAAATGTAATATTCAGAAACTCCACCACCGCTACCTGAGAATGGAAGCTTGTCCGGTGAATGGCGCTACCGCAGTCCGCACTGGCCCAGCCAGCGCGCCAAACACAGATTCACATAAACCAAAGGCGCCAAACACGATCGAACCGAGCACTCAAAAAGCACTAAAAAAATTTGGTGAAAAGGAACGACGAGCCGGCGACGAGAGCTCCAGAACCCTAGCCATGGCGGGAGAGGCAGGGGGAGACCCCCGAGCGTGGCTTGCCGTCGACGAGACGGCGGCGGCCTTCCTCTCCCGCTCCCTCTCGGCGCGGCCCCCCATCCTCCTCCCGCCGCCGCTCCACCGCGCTCCGCTCCGCCCGGGCAACGTCGTCGAGATCGCTGGCCCGTCCAACTCCGGCAAGTCCCAGCTGCTTCTCACGGTAAGAGAATCCAAAGCTTTCTCCGCCTAAATGGTTAGCGAACATAAGGCATTTAGCCCTCACTTAGTCGTCCTTTCTACCAGAACTTCCCTTTAGCAAATGTCTTAAGAATTTCAGTATCTGCTGCAAGCTTTGATCGACCCCAATTTGTTATGAAGCTAATGATAGTGCATATCTGCATTCATAATCTCAATATGGGATTCAACACAACTTATGATAAGTGAAAGAAAAAGAGCAATGACCGAATGACACTATGCTGTGCGGGAGTTTTAGAAAATCGGAGATATTTCGTTAAATTACTGCTGTTTCTGGGAACACGGGACATAGGAGTAATTTACAAAGAGGGGGGGGGGGGGGGTTGGGAGGGGGATTACCTTGTGTGTTTGGTGAAAGGTACTAGTTTAGAATGCTATAATGCTTCATGCTTCATAAATCATAAGTGGATAAACTCAATGCCATTTTGACACCTATATATTTTTTTCAATGAAGCAATGTAAAAGTTAAGTGTGATCTGCTCAGTCACTGAGTTGTTATTACTATTGTAGGCTGCAGTACAATGCATATTACCGAAGGAGTGGAAGGGTACCTATTTTGGGGGCCTGGGTAAAGTGGTCATGTACTTGGATCTGGACTGCCGATTTGATGTGCTGCGGCTGGCTCAAATTCTGAGAAATCGCATTGGAGAGTGCTGTGGTACAGTTTTGCTTGCATTGTGAACTTTGCATTATTAAGTCATGCATCCTATCCAACTTAGAGCATGTTGAACATGATGCATGCTTTTATGGGTGCATAGAGCTGACTGATTAACTGTGCTGTCTTTTGTTCATAATGTTGTAGTTAGGAATTGATTTGTGTAAATCTTTTATAGGCTTAGGCTCCCTCCACTATTCTACACCTACATACCCCTCAATTCTTAGTGGAGAATAACTGTGCCATAAATAGACAAATTTTGATTCTTATTGTTTCCAATCCTCTGTAATTACAGGCTCCACAAATCCAACAAATGAAGAATTTGCAAAGGATGGCGCTACAAATAGTTTTTCCGAAAACACGCTATTTTCTGAGTGCATGAAGCGTTTCTTGTATGCCCGTTGTTACAATAGTTCAGATTTTATAGCAGCTTTGCAGGCAAGTTTTATCTGACAATATGTTTATACACGGGCACATTAGCATCCTCATTTGTGTCCTCCTTTTCTTTAACTGATGGCTGACATGAAATATGTAAAAGTATATAAACAGGGGGCTATATTAAATTATGCCTGACCCTTTGAACCACTGGATGAACAAGTTGGTTTCTTTAGGTTGTATACTTGTATAATTGCTGAGTATGCAAAAGGTTCCGTTGTTCCTTGTTTAGATACAGAAGAGTATAGGGCTATCATGTCAGTTTGCCTTTCTGGTACCAAATTAACCAACTGATCATTTGCTCAGGTGTTATGTTCTGACAGTTGACTTAGGCATTTGCAGTAACATTTCTTGAATATTCATAATGGTTTGACAAATTTTTTTTGTCCCATAGAAGACAAAAAAAAAAAACTTTTGCCACTCATGTCCAACAAAATTACTTCATTCACTCATGGACATCTGTTGATTTCTATCGTAATATATTTGTAAAACTCAATAAATGTATAATATTATGTAAGTACCTTTTGATCAATCATTAATCTCGACTTATGGTTTTCATGTATCTAAATATTTAAAAATATATTGATCCTGAAAGTTTTGAAAACACATAGAGAATACTGAGTTCTTGCTCATTCTCTGGAATCACCTTATATTTGTCATGGACCTAAGCTTAATCTTTATGAGATAATCATAAGATAGCTGTATTATTGAAAAACAGTCAGAACCATGAAATGCTTTTGTAGAATGAATTACAAAGAAGGCAACACATTCTGTTCCCCTTTTATTTTTGTAACAGTCTAGGAGTTATGCCATGTGTAGATAAGTTATATCTTAATGCGTATATAAGATACACGTTTTGTTATTATAACTGGTTGTTCATTTTACAGAATATACATTCCCAATCACCAGCAAAGAGCGAAGTTCTTGGTGTTGGCATATATTTCCTTATGATAGACAGGTATTCCTTTTCAAGGTTTCCTTTGTCTTTCTATTTGTTATGGTCACACTTATTGCATCTTTTGGTCTGCCGCTTGTATTGAAGTTGTGGCTACTTTCTCAAAATGCTGCATCATTCAAATTTTTTTAATGGTATTCTGCATTGTTCTCACATAACCATTTGGCCCTCCGGACTTTTCTTCTGTACTTTTTATTCTTGTAGTAACTGCTAAACATTTTGTAACATTATCCCTTTTCCAGCATTGGCTCATTCTACTGGATGGATCGTGATTCTCAACCTATCACAGAGAGTAAAGGGTGATTGCGAAAAACATTTCATGCAGTATTAGCTTCATATCCTCCTGATTTTGTCATGTGCATATATCACAATAACAATTAGCATAGATGTTTTAATTAATTATTGTCTCTTCTACACTTGTAAACATGTGAATAAAACAGGTTTAACTTAATACTTCATCTGCTAAAGGGTAGGATGGTACAATACTACAGTACATAGAAAGTATGCATCCTCTTGCTATCTCGCATACATAAATTAAAATAGAAGAGTTACAGCATGTTACACAGTCACACACACTCTGAATGCAATGGGTAGTCACTATCACTTAATAATTATCATTCAAAAGAAAATAAATGCTACTTGCATTTTCAACTAATATTAGATGCATCATTATTGCATATGCAACATTTACACAAAAAACATCATGAAATACAGTATGGAATACACATGTACTTGTAATGATAGTGCTCAGTGGCACAGTTCAAACTACAAAATATTACTACAACTTAGGTGAGAATAACTAGGTATGTTTCAATTGCAGTGTATTGCTTAGGAAAGAGGATTAAAATGCGTACTTGTGCATGGGAACACTGTACAAAAACATGTTAGACTTTGTTGGAAACATTTACAAAATTTTCCAACCTGAAAGTATCCAGCATTTTGGATTACAATTACTTCTGCCAATTCTGTAACTCTATCTCACTAGTATCTCTTTGCTTTTATGCTAACCCTTTCACAACTATTCATGCAGGAGAACTCTATCACTGCAGAGTATGACAGAAACAGTTGTCCAAAAATTACGCAATTTTTTGCAACTTCAACCTGTTTTGGTGATGGCCACCAAGGCACCCATATATGGCGAAGGATTCACTGGAAATGATTTCCAAAGGTAATATCACTACCAGCATGGACCCTTTTTACTGTTATCTGATGGATGCAAATATTTTACCTCTCAAAAGGATGATTAAGGTGTGATAAGGTGATTCATTCAGGAGGAAATGGCACAACTAATTGATCACTCTGATTTGTTTTACATATTTTTGCCACCATGCATTTGCTCTGTTTAAAATCAACATGCTTCCTTTTGTTGCATATGTCAAGTTCTTTTACTCAGGATCATGATCTTCCCATGTGAAGAAGCTGAAAACCTGAAGGATACTGGCTTTCTTTTTGGGTATTTAGGGGTACTTCAAAACAGATGTTAGAGGATTCAACAATGAGATGCATAGGTCAGGAGGAAGAGAAAAACATCTCATACCGTGAATTCATGCCGTCAGTATGGCAGGTCCGTGATCTTTATTCATTAAAATGTTAATTCTGATTTCGTACAAAGTATTACAGAACATGCTAACAGTAAGCTTCAATCGCCATTTGATTTGTTTGTTGTATGCATATATACATTGCCGTGTGGCCAGTATCTATTTATGAATCATAACCACATAACTGTCTAAAGGATTTCTGAATTTGTGTTCTTGCAGTCATTTGTTACACACAGGATAAAGCTACAAGATTTAGGTTGGTAAATGGTCTTTTTATGTGGTTCATGATTTTGTCCTTATTTTCATTGCATATGTTTATTTGATTTTTACAGGACAAGAAGCAGAACTTTTCTCTGGTCAGGAAAACAAGGAGCTACCTTTACGTACTTCTGAGTGGATGCAGCCTTCCCTCAACACAAAGGATAAGTTTTCTATTACAGATGTAAGCTACTTATATTTTTTTTCTTTTTGTAAGCTACTTGTTACCTTTCTTTCTGTTATCAATGTACTATTTTTTTTTACAGTCCCATGCATATTTTGATTTAGACACGTCCTTTTCCATGATCAGGATGGTGTTATTCTTATCCACTGAAGGTTATCAGGGTTTCCGCTGATGTACATATCCAACTTCCTGGCTGGATTATTGTAATCTGTGGAAAAACCTGTAAGAGATGCTAATACTCTGATAACACCTATGACTCAGAACCCTTAGGTGAGTGCAGAGTGAACCTCCCTGCTTTTACAGAATAAATGATCTTAAATTTTCTCAAACTAAGAAGCTAATCAAACCAACTAGCAAAGAATTCACACGTCTCTTACATGAAAGTCATTAAATCTATGATAAATCGAATGACGCAGAGAAAAGAGGCTTTGTGTTTGTACTGCAGAAAATATATCTAGATAACTGCAGAAAAGAGGCTTGTCCATGGTCTCTGTTAGAGAACTGGCTGTAGTTTATTGGGTTGTTTTATCTTCAAATATATCTAGCAAATAATCTGACTTAAGTAAAACATTTCTAAGGTTAATTGAAATTTTAGGAGGCGTCTAAAACAATTGCAGTACTATACATACCGAGGTATATTGTTTCTCACCATGAGCCCCTGATGCACTTTTCTGGATCACAGTACAAGGTGGTCTGTTTTTTTATGATACTTGAAAAGACTATTCAACGATGATAAAATAACTCATGTTTAATTTAATTACTGCAAATTTTTCACCATTATACTTGTTTTAATTTGTTAGAATGCAACTGTCATATTATTTTGAAGTTTACTGTGTTTTCTCACTTCCCTTGATGCACAGCTTCTGTTAGTCGATCTTACTTTGCTCTAATATATTATTTTCCATACTAAAGCCCAAACATAAACTCACAAAATATCATCAATGAAGCAATAGCAGAAAAATCATGCCATTTATAATACATGAATCTGACAGTGAAGCAAAATGATCAGGTCACCGTTTGTCTTGGCTTTTGATGTTTGGCACAGCATAGTTGGACTTGGAACTCTGTATTGATTGCTGGGAAAAAGCAAGCCAAGCTTCTTTATCTGGACTAATGGCTGCATTATACTAATGTCACGCAAGTTTGACTATTTTCTGATTTTTTAAAACACTTCTATTTCTGCGTGGCCATTAGGAAGTGGATGCCTGAAAACATTAGATGGGGGAATTAAAAGATATAATGCTTCAGAGTCACCAATTTATCAGGTAATTCCTTCATAGCCGTGCGGCAGCTGCAGCTCACATTATGCGAGCTGCTTTCTCTGTTAGATATAACTTATGTAGATTAAGGCTAATCTCAGTGCCAGAAAATGAGGGGTTTAGGTTTGAGGAATATGAGAATATTTATGTAGATTGGACATAAAATACGACCTAGATTTACTTGCTAGTTTATTCAAGGCCAGCTCAAATTCATGAAGGTTTGGAAATTAGTTCTGATTGTGCTTATGCTCTTTTTTTTTTCCCTGTTACTAGATGGCTTGTCTTATCTGTCACATTGTCAAGCACTATGAGAACTTTGTCTAACATCACATTTGATGTGAATCTTTGTGTGCCTGCTACATATGGATTTGTTCTTATTTTGTGAGTTTCTACTTGAGTTCCTAGCTGTCATTTTTATTCTTTTTTTTTGTTCCAGCTAGTGCTTGTCGCTCACTCATAGCAAGATACGCACCCTTCTTGGTGATCCCTAAGTATACCCAAACACTTTATTGCGTTATTGTAGTTGGTATAGTCATCTTCTTGTCCATGCTAGGTCGCTAGCATTGTGCTTTTTCCACTTCTTTTTATCAATTGTTGTTCGTCAATCGAGCATAGCAGCTGATGTACTAGTTTAACACAAACTATACAATTCCACGGATGAAGGTGAAATGGAAGATGTTAACGGCAATGGTTACTTTCTGCCGGCCTTGCAATTGACGAGTTGGTCCTCCAAATATGATTGTAGATGTCGCTTTTGTGTTTTATGTAATCATATGTGCAAATGATCTACCTGAGATGATGTTGACTAATGTTAATTTAGATGATAATGGTATATTCTTGCAGACGAGTTCTTTCCGACGCCCCTGATACATATCTGTTGTCTTGTACAGAGTACAGACTTTCCATGGCGGCATGAGTGTCTCGTGGTGTCGTGCAGTAGCCCTGAACTCTTTCTGAATCACGAACTGGATAAAGCTTGATTGAGAGAGTTGGCAAGGTTGCTGTTCACATTAATCTGTGACCCAAGGTGTAAACAAAGCTTTTGGAATGCACCATGGAGGTCAGGGTTCTCCAAACCCTTTTAATCTCGTGGAATGAAAAGCAATGGAGGACTCATATTTGCTGTAGCTTTCGACCGTGGAGCTCACAGAATCCTCGTGCAGAACTGGGTGTAGCACTCACTACACTCCATCCCGTGGGAGCTTTTGGTACGACAAAGTTTGCAGTCATCAAAGTGGCAGTGTAAAATGGTGGGAGACTTGGGGTGACGACCTTGTAATCTTGCTGGTGAATCTCCCCTTCTAAAATCCTGTAGCAGATGTCCAAGAATATTCAACCAACTGCTGAAAAGTGAAAACGACCTTGGATCCCATATTCTCATTGTATTGGAGAGGTCAGCAAGCTGCTAGTGCTGCAATATGGAAGCAGGACTGGAGGAGCAGAGGCGATGCGTTTCACCCAATGCACTACGAGGTCAGACAGCCATCTGCTGCCACGTGTACTGCTACGGTCAGCCGTATGCGAAGCAAACAACAACCCACTACTGGACAGCAAAAGGCCCAGTCTACTTGCCAATCATTCGTTGCTCGGCCGGTTCTGTACTTCTGACGATCGCAGGTACAACTCGTCGGCCTGAAATCCTGTATGCTTCTTTACATAGGATTTTTTTCCCCTTTATCATGCATTAATCCTCTCTCATTTGATACAAAATCGTGAAAGACTTGACACTTCGATAAACTCAGAATAGAGGATCCGAATGGAAATTTACTCCAATTTTTTTTAAAAAAATTAAAAATAAAATAGGGCAGTGGCTACCTAGGACAAGAGCATCCAGCCAGGCCGAGGAAAATCCTTTACCAGCCAAGCCAAAACATTCACAAGTCCAGAAGCACACAAGACTCGATCACTCGAGTCTCTACGTGAATCTTAGCGGAAGATAAGGGAGCATCAGTACAGCCCAGCCAATAGGACGCGTTCTCCTCCAATCCCAAAGCCGCGCGCTTGGATTCTTCCCTCGCCGATCTCGCGAGCCCCAGCTGTGCTCGTTCATCACTAGGCTCTCCCTCGTGTCACTCACCATTCTATTCGCTCTCGCCGCCAGCTGCCTCGCCGCCTCACCCTATATATATATCTCGCCGTAAGTTCCCCATAGCTTCACCATCGCCGTGCACCGACCGACCGATCTCCGGCCAGCCGGCCAGCCAGCCAGCCACCGTAGTCGATCGTCGTCGAGAGAGCCGCTACTACGTACGTACGCACGCCGCGATGTCGGGGGACGCGTTCAACATGTCGGTGGCGTACCAGCCGTCGGGGATGGCGGTGCCGGAGTGGCTGAACAAGGGCGACAACGCGTGGCAGATGATCTCGGCGACGCTGGTGGGGATGCAGAGCGTGCCGGGGCTGGTGATCCTGTACGGCAGCATCGTGAAGAAGAAGTGGGCGGTGAACTCGGCGTTCATGGCGCTCTACGCCTTCGCCGCCGTGTGGCTGTGCTGGGTCACCTGGGGCTACAACATGTCGTTCGGCCACAAGCTCCTCCCGTTCTGGGGCAAGGCGCGGCCGGCGCTGGGCCAGAGCTTCCTCCTCGCCCAGGCCGTGCTCCCGCAGACGACGCAGTTCTACAAGGGCGGCGGCGGCGCCGACGCCGTGGTGGAGACGCCATGGGTGAACCCGCTCTACCCGATGGCCACCATGGTGTACTTCCAGTGCGTGTTCGCCGCCATCACGCTCATCCTCCTCGCCGGCTCGCTGCTGGGGCGGATGAACATCAAGGCGTGGATGCTGTTCGTCCCGCTCTGGCTCACCTTCTCCTACACCGTCGGCGCCTTCTCGCTGTGGGGCGGCGGCTTCCTCTTCCACTGGGGGGTCATGGACTACTCCGGCGGCTACGTCATCCACCTCTCGTCGGGTGTCGCCGGCTTCACCGCGGCGTACTGGGTGGGGCCCAGGTCGACCAAGGACAGGGAGAGGTTCCCGCCAAACAACGTGCTGCTCATGCTCACCGGCGCCGGCATACTGTGGATGGGGTGGGCGGGGTTCAACGGCGGCGACCCGTACTCCGCCAACATCGACTCCTCGCTCGCCGTGCTCAACACCAACATCTGCGCCGCCACCAGCCTCCTCGTCTGGACTTGCCTCGACGTCATCTTCTTCAAGAAGCCGTCCGTCATCGGCGCCGTCCAGGGCATGATCACCGGCCTCGTCTGCATCACTCCCGGCGCAGGTACCATCACACTATATATGCATGCTCCTCATCGCTTGCACCAGTGCACCGCCCATGCTTAATCTACACACAGTACACTAGGTGATCTTCGATCGTTTATACTGAAAATGAATTTTGGGCGAAAAAAAAACATTAGACATGACTAATTGAGTTTTATACTTATTATTACTTTCTCCTTTTCATAATATAAATCGTTTTGGATGTTTTTTTAAAAAAAATCTTTTAAGTTTGAATAAGTTTATAAAATAATTTAGCAAACATCTACAAAATCATTAGTTTCACTAAATATAGCATTAGATATATTTTAATAATACATTTGTTTTGTATTGAAAAATATTATTATATTTTTTAGAGTGAATTTCACCTGACCCATATATTATGGTCATAAGTTGCACAAAATCACAAAGTTTCACAAAACCACACTCTTGATTATTTTGATTTTGGTCTACCATACTTTTGAGTTCTATAATCAAATTTCAAGTTTATGAGTTATTATCTATCATATAAATGTTACATCTATGTTAGTTAAACTTTTTAAAATTTTGATACAGGAGTTTGTCAATTTGGTTAATGGCGTAGTTTTGTGAAACTTTAGAACTATAATACCCGGGGTTACGTTCCACGTGCTATGGTTTTGCGTAAATTGGTCCATAATAGATGATGCTTTATAAAATTTACTCTATTTTTTGATAAACTCGATTAAACTTTAAGAAGTTTAACTAGGAAAAGGTCATATGAAACGGATGGAGTATAAACTTGAAAATAGATTTATCTGAAATTTTAAACCGAGTTAGTAAAATCTGTATCTGGGGCTGGGCGTAACTGATCCGTCTTGAACGGCGTCTGCATATGCATGGTCGATCAGGCCTGGTGCAGGGTTGGGCGGCGATCGTGATGGGCATCCTCTCCGGCAGCATCCCGTGGTTCACGATGATGGTGGTGCACAAGCGGTCGCGCCTCCTGCAGCAGGTGGACGACACCCTGGGCGTCTTCCACACCCACGCCGTCGCCGGATTCCTCGGCGGCGCCACCACGGGCCTCTTCGCCGAGCCCGTCCTCTGCTCCCTCTTCCTCCCCGTCACCAACTCCCGCGGCGCCTTCTACCCCGGCCGCGGCGGCGGCCTCCAGTTCGTCCGCCAGGTGGCCGGCGCCCTCTTCATCATCTGCTGGAACGTGGTGGTCACCAGCCTCGTCTGCCTCGCCGTCCGCGCCGTGGTTCCCCTCCGGATGCCCGAGGAGGAGCTCGCCATCGGCGACGACGCCGTGCACGGGGAGGAGGCGTACGCGCTGTGGGGCGACGGCGAGAAGTACGACTCCACCAAGCACGGATGGTACTCCGACAACAACGACACGCACCACAACAACAACAAGGCCGCGCCCAGCGGCGTCACGCAGAACGTCTGATGATACGTGTCGGTTTTTTTTTCTTTTCCTTTCCTTTTTGGGGTTGTATACGTTACGAAATGCTGCGGTTTCCTGTCGTGGAATAATGTGGTGGTGGTTCTGAAACGGGTTTCTTCTTCGGGATGCTCTGGTTTGATGATTTCGACCATTCGAGATTTAATACAGCGGCTACTTTCTTTTCTCTGTCACTTGCAATTGAGTTTGTTTTGTCTCTGTAATTTTGAACTGAGTTTGTTTCTATTCCTTCCATGCCCTTGCACGTGTTACTACCACGTCCCAAAATATAAATAGCATCCGGATTCAAATTTGTCCAAATATAACTATGTCTAGGATGAGTATAGTCATACAACTTTCAAAACAAAATTTCTCTAAAATCATTTAATGAATTATAATGCACATTTAAATAATTATAATGTAACTTGTACATAAGATGCACAAAATTTTTGAAATATTTGCGATGGTCCAAGTGGCTAGTGCATACAGTGTGTGATCAATAGTTCCTGAGTTTGATTCCGTGTGACTGCGTGAATGTGTCAAAGAAATTTCTAGTGAATTTGTTCCGAATTAAATTTAAAAATATATTGTTCAATCATTTTTTTAGGAATATTCGGGATGCAAAAACTTTTTAGAAATATACCGTCGATCTCGCACAACCGTTGCGCGAAAATGACGTGGACGTGACGTCGCCGACGGTATCGCGCGGTGAAAGTGCGAGACCGCATGGTCTCGCGGAATGGAATAGCGAGACCGTTTGGTGATACCAGTGCCATGCTGAATTAATTAGTGATTAATTGTCATGATTAGCGATTAATTTAATTCCAAGTTGAATTAACTAAGGGGCTGTTCAAATTGATGTTATTTTAAACCATACTATTTTTTTAAAGTTACTAAAGATATACATACAATTTTTTTTGCAAACTTTTAGTAAATACATGAGAAATCATACTAAAATTTTGTTAAAATTGAATATTTTGTCTATAACCTGAACAGTCCCTAAGTTCGATTCCGTGTGACTGCGTGAGCGTGTCAAAGAAATTTCTAGTGAACTTGTTTCCTCCCACGCCAGAACGAATGTTTGAGCAATTCGGATCCTCTGCTTTAGAGGTACTAATGCAGAGGATGAACAGTACCACGCATTAGAATCACTATGGACCGTCGGATCAAGAGTGAAAGGACCAGATTGTGTGCTACATTCATGTTTGAGGCAGAGACTTGATGGACAAAAGATCGAAAGTTTTTCTATTTTCTGTCGACAAAAATTTAGTAAATTTGGATGCCAGCACAAATATTGAGGCAAATCCTGATTGAGAAAATAAATCTTTCGATTTTTTTTCCTTTTCTTTTGTCAACATAAATTTAGTAAATCCAGTGATTGTTATGAACAAGTAAATCCGGTGATTGTTATGAACAAATTTAGTAAATTCGGTGATTGTTATGAACAAAAACTACAGAAATTTAGTGAATCCGGTGATTGTTATGAACAAAAGATACAGAAATTTAGTAAATCGGTGATTGTTATGAAAAAAAAAACAAAGTCCGGTAATTTTCCTCCTTTCAGAATACGGAAATTTAGTAAATCCGGTGATTGTTATGAAGAAAAACTACAACCGGTAATATATTTTCCTTCTTTCAGAATACGGTAATATACAACATAACCAATGTCTGCTCGCCAAAACAAAAAAAAAATCCTGTTAAAAACAACAGCAACGGAAAGAGAGAGAACCATTGTCAACGACAAAGTTGAAAGACCCAGCTTTGACCATAGAAGCTGGGCTTTGACAGGCCAAGCCCAGGCTCGCCTCAAGCCTGCACCTGCAAGGACCTCAATTCGACGGTAATAAATCGGAGAAGAACTGCAAGTAATTTGATTGATCGGCCAACTCCGCGAGGAACTGAAGTGATCTCGGAATCGGCGGGACGCCGATCTCCACGAGCCCTTCGAGCACCTGCACCACCGTCGCCATGGCCGGCCTCGCGTTCTCGTCGTCCTGGATGCACCAGAACGCCACCCTGCATGCTCTCTCCGCCTCGCCCATGTCGGCGTCGCCGCCGAGCCGGCCGTCCACCACGGCGCTGACCAGCTCCTCCCGCCGGCCTCCGCCGCCGCCGACGAGCCTGCCCGCCGCCACCAACGGGAATGGGCGGTCCGCCGCCGCGCCGCCGTCGTCCTGCTGCTCCTGCCTCCTCCGTCGTCCCTGCACGTTCCGCCTCCCCGACACGATCTCGAGCAGCGTCATGCCGTAGCTGAACACGTCCGCCTTCGCCGTGACGGCCGTGCCGGCGATCCACTCCGGCGCGATGTACCCCACCGTGCCCCTCGCCGTGGTCAGCACGCGGCTGATGTCGCGGCCCATGAGCTTGGCGAGCCCGAAGTCGGCGACCTTGGGTGCAAACGAGCCATCGAGCAGTATGTTCTCTGGCTTGATGTCGCAGTGTATGATGCAATCCCTGCATTTCTCGTGGAGGTAGTCTAATCCCCTCGCGATTCCAAGAGCAATCTGGTACCTCGTGTTCCAACTCAGGACATGTTTTTTATTGTCAAAAAGTTGCTTGTCCAGTGAACCGTTTGGCATGTACTCGTAGACGAGTAGCCTTCGCGATTTCTCCGAGCAAAACCCGAGCAATCGAATCAGGTTGACGTGTTGGATGTTGCCGATCGTGCTCACCTCCGCGCGAAACTGCTTCTCCCCCTGACGAAAACCTTCGAGCTTCTTCACGGCCACCACGGTCGCATCAGGTAGCGACCCTTTGAACACTAAACCGAATGCGCCTCCCCCGAGCTTCTCGGAGAAATTTTTGGTCACAGATTTCAGGTCACGGTATGTGAATGCTATCAAGGAACCTTCCACTCTTGTTGTTTCCTTTACCATTCTTCTTCTGAAGATGAAAAACAAAGCAGCTATCATGAGTACTAGAACACTAGTAGCAACGATGGCAATAGTGATCAAGTTCTTGGTGTTCTTCTGCTTCTGGCCAGACAATTCTGAAGCGGCCAAGCGAATCAAAACAGTGCTGCTTCCTTGGCTACTAATGGCAGACACATCCTGCAGGTTGATGAGGTCTCCATGCCACAGTGAGCAGCTGCCGTTGTAGGAGTAAGCAGTGCAAGAACAACTTCTTAAGCATGCTTGCTCACACTGATCATTTCCTATGACCACCACGCTCTCTGCATTGCTTGGTAATCTCACGTTGGCCATCGTGTAGAAACCATCAGTCCTCCCCATCACTGAGGCATTGCTGCTACACTGCAGCTCGACGTTTCTTCTGCACCCTGAAGTGTGATCTCCCTGCAACCACTCGCCAACGTTCTGCTCGCTGAATCCCCGGAGGCAGCTACAAGATGTCAGTGCGTTCTCGGTGCAGACACTGAACGGGCCACACAGCGAGTACACGTCGCACTTCACCTTGGGCTGAGACCAGAACGGCATCCAGTCCTTGGCTGCGTAGATCCATGTCAAGAACTGGATCTGCCCCATCTCGCTCAGGAAGAACCTCGTGAGGACGGACTCGTCCTTGAGGTCGTACACGAAGTAGCTCTCGCTCTCGTTCTCGCCATTGACGTAGTCGAAGGTGTACGTCGAGCTCGGGTAGCATCCCGTCATCTCCGGCACGTCGGCGAATATGCGGCCAGTCCAGTTGCCGCTCGTCCAGTACTGCTGCGTGATGCTCCATTCGAGCAGGTATTGGCTCGTGCCATTCGGATCCAGCTCGAGGGAGAAGACGCCTGGAGATGGGTCATTGCGAGCCTTCCATGCGACCAGACGGGTGCTCACGCCGGCGAGCTTGTTATTCCGGCCGAGCTTGCCGCCGGGGAGCCAGGTGTTGCCGAAATGGTCGAAGCTCTGCCAGTGGATGATGGAGGTGTTCGATTCGTCTGCGAGGACAAGGTTGCCGGTGTCGAGGATGACACCGACCGTGGAGTTGGAGGCGATCTTGGAGATGTTCGTGGACCAAATTGCAGTTGTTGAATTGTCGAGTAATACCATGTTGCCGTCGGTTGCTATGGTTAGTTGTGAGGTGTCCGGATTCGAGATTGGAGTGCCCCTGTTTGCAACCCAGACAGGTGTGTGTTTGGAAATTTGGTTGTACCAGATGCCAAGGTACCAATGCTGTGAATTTTCTGTTGCACATCAAAAGGAGTAGTACCTCTTAGTAAGCACACAAAAATCAAAAGCATAAATCTCATAAAAGAAACAAGAACAACTAAGGGGCAACTTGGTTATCAATTAGTTAATTAGAAAAAGTTATAAGCGTATTAAAATTGAACACAAAACTTTAGGGTTAAACCTTTTACCACTACACTATCAAGTGCATCTGAAAAGATTAAATCTTATACCAATGGTAATTTGTAGTAACTATAATATATTTAAGAAAAAAAAGTTGACAAAACTATTCTCCTCTCATTCAAAGTTGTTTTGCACCACAATAACTCATGTTTTGTTGTTGTGGAAAACCACATGTACTCCCTCCAGTTATAAATATTTGTTGTTTAGGACAAAATTCAGCCGAACTCTTGGAGCTTTGGCCATTAATTTTATATTAGGATAAGTCTATAAAATATAATGAATCTATCGTAATAGTATTTTTCAAGGCATATCTATCTTCACATACCACTTTTTAAAACTAAACAATTGAATCAATTATTGATGATCAATTTTTTAAAAATTTAACCAAATCTCGTATAAATGTTAACTAGATGAAATGGAGTAACTATGAACCTTGTTCATGTTATTTTCTTTCTTGTTGCTACGATCTCGCTCCACGTATTTGGATTGTTAGAAATTAAAGCACCGACATATTTCCTCTAGAGGCTATACACATTCTAAAATTTTCCTTACTACGCTCTTTTCTTGTAACACAAACAATTAAAGCCGGAAACAAACACATAGAATGTGGCGGTACCTGGCTGGAAGAAACCGAGCGCGAACTTGCGACGCTTGGACACCAGTGCACTCTGGCTGCCGGACAACGGGCGTTTGGCAGTGACGGTATCGGCAAACACCACAGCACTTTGCAGAGCGGCCATGGCTATGACAAGCAGGCAAGGAAGAACGAGAGCAGAGGAGCAGGGCGGCGCCATTGTTTCCAGTCTCTGAATTCAAGGGACGGAGCTTGGACCTGGCTACCTGGCCGTTGGTAATAGGCGACGGACAACCTGCAGGAAATGCAGAAAGAAAGTGAAATGCAGTGGCAACGAAAGAGAAGGAGGGTGAAACGTTTATTCCTCCTGGCTTAGTAACTCAGTTGCTGCTTACTGTCTTGCAATCTCCATTCCAGTATAAGATCATTTTGGCTTCTTCGGTTTCTACTAAAATAAGTTTATTTTGAGCAGATCATTGTATTGGAGTTTATGATAATAGAAAATAAATACATAGGATTTCGCTGTCTCTTCGGTCTCAATGGTTCTGGAGTCCATCCACGCGGAGGGCCATATGTGGTCTTTAGCTGTCATCGCCGCTTTTGGGAATTTGTTGGTAGTCTAGTGTGGCTTGGCCCCTTCCCGCTGCTTGGAGTCTGTTTTTAGCCACCGTAGTTTCTTTAAGCTTTAGTTTTTTTTTTCTTCTCTTGCTTTTTCTTCCTTCCCCTAGCATAAGCCAGTCTGGTTGATTGCGTCGTGTAACTAAAACTCTTTTTCTTTTAATATATTGACGTGTAATCCTTTTGCGCATTCGCGAAAAAAAGTAGATAAAAAAGAAATAATTACATTGGGATTTTAATAAAGTGTTGGGGTGGGATTATAGCATTCTTTTTAATTAGTATGTGTGAGGTACGTAAAAGTTAAATTTATTTTGAGACAGGGACAGTAATTATTTCACGAAACTTTGCGAGGTGGGATATATAGCCGGAGCTTAGAGGCAACAGGTGCAAGCTAGCTCAATGTAATTTTTCCTCGCCGGGCCGAGGCTAAGCGGCAAGCGTCAATGTCGCATATCCTAATTAACTCGCCGGTCATAAAACCAGTCACTGTATCGATCGGTCCGTCACACGCCGTGCCGTCTCGGACGCCCATACGCATTTCGCGCTGCGCCATGGCATGCACGAAGCCACGCACGCACTCAACGAAGATTTTTCGTTCGCCGCACGCAATGCCGAGCTCTGCGTGCGGCGGTGTTGCTCGCCGTGGTGGCCGGCGCGTGGGACGGTGGGAGTGGGACGTGCCCGTGTGAATGTGTGATCCGAAATTGCTGCATGCGCGCGTGATGTGCGTCAAGCACATTGCGATGCTGGGCCGGAATGAGCCCGTCGTGAGGGTGAGACGGAGGATCAACGAATCAGAAAGCCCAGAGTGCAACTGTGCAAGCCGACTTGTACCGATTAACTATGTTGACATCGGAGCGAAAATACCGCCTACGGAAATGGGAAGACCGTGCAAGATTTGGAGATTGCTACTACGTCCGATATTTTGCAAAACATCGGACGATGTTTTGCTATATTGTTGCAAGATGTTTTACTGTACTGTTACAAAATGTTTCACATGTTACACTACTCGATGAAAAATGTTTCAACAATAATGTTTTAGATGTTTCATCGATAGGAGAAAATATTTCATCGCTTGAACACAATTGTTTCAGCTCTCAAAAAAAAAGTTTCAACGAATTAAAACAATGAAACAAATCGATTCACACTCTGAAACATTTCGTTGTATCTTTTGAAACATCAAATTTCATCTATTGATACATCAACGAACCACACACACAAGATACAAAATATATGAAATACCATCAAAATACCCAATGAGACATTTTGGTCAAACATGGTGGAAAACCAAAAATATGTGGGCTGAAACATCAAAAAACCGTACAACAAAAGGTGCCAGTTTAGACCCTTCTTCCTCCTCTTCGGTGGTCGGCCGTTTCCGAGCTCGGCACCGGAGCTCTTTCGCGCCACCAATGGCCTGTGGAACGTTGTCGACGTTGATAAAACCCTATCACAATCGAGGAAGGCATGGCTGACCGTATCGCCATCGAGCACCATCCCATGCCGCCGTTGAGGAAGATGAGGCTGACCATGCCATTGTCAAAGACAGAGAGGTCATCGCCAGTGTGGTCGTCGGCGTCCTCCTCCCACTTCGTGTTGCGCCGCCCCACCACCGTCGGCTTGGTCGCTGGCATCCTCCTCGCTCCTCACATGGTCGTGCTGCGGAGAGCGAGATGTGCCGCTACGGTGTTGAGGGGAGAGAAAGAGAGAAGAACGAGTGGTTCACATAGAGATAAGGTTGACCAGTGGATAGAAAATAGTGGAAGAGTAGTTAGGTGGGACCCACTCGGTGGAACGTCCGATTTTTTATCGCGTATCGAACGTCGGAGTAAAAACATTTTTGGTTAGATTGTGGTCCGCCTACGAAAATTGGTTTTTGAAGGACCACGTAAGGGCGCAGTTGCAGTATATTTAAACATAGTTAGCAAATAATAATGTTGGCTCGTATCGTTGTTCTTTCCTTCTAGAGATGAAGATGAAAATTAAGTTTTTTTACGCAAAACGAGGTGGTATCAACATATGATTGATTGAGTTTTAATTATTATAAATTAAAAAAAGATTAATATGATATTTTAGAGCAACTTTTATATATAAATGGCTTGTTTACTTTGCTACCATTTTCAACCTTATATTTATTTGGCAAAGTTACCAATAAAGTGACTACATTTAATTTGTTGTTAAATTTTAGTAAGTACATATGAAATCTTGCCAAAATTTGGTAACCTTGCCAAAATTTTGACAAGGTAATAGTTTAAAAAGCGTGGCACGAAAATCTTAATCTTACGGTGCTCGCTTTGCCACAAGAATCTGCTCGCCAAAACAAGCTGGGCTGTTTGGTTTACCACAATTTGCCTCATCATGCCACAACTCAAGTTAGCCAGGTTTGACTTAGTTAGGCATTCGTTTGGTTGGTGCCACACTTTTGGCAAGATTCCTTCACCATGATGTGGGTCCCACTGTCATTGACACATAAAAGTGTGGCAAGTGTACTCTCCTATGGCTGAAGTATGGCTTCAATTTTATTGGCCACATGTTAAGCATGTTAGTTAAATGAAGTATAGCAAGTTTTGGTAACGTGAGTATGCAAGTTCTGGCGATTTTAACGCTTAGCCGCCCAAACGCAGACTGGCGTCAAGCCTGCAACCGCCTCACTTTGACGGTAAATCGGAGAAAAACCGCAAGTTATTCGACTGATTCGCGAGGTCCGCGAGGATTTGGAGTGATCTCGGAACCGGCGGGACGCCGATCTCCACAAGCCCTTCGAGCACCTGCACCACCGTCGCCATGGCCGGCCTCGCCTTCTCGTCGTCCTGGATGCACCAGCACGCCACCCTGCATGCTCTCTCCACCTCGCCCATGTCGGCGTTGACGCCTACACGGCCGTCCACCACGGCGCTGACCAGCTCATCCCGGCCGCCGCCACCGCCGCCGAGCGTGCTCGCCGCCAGCAACGGGAGCAGGCCGTCCACCGCCGCGCCACCCTGCTCCTGCACGTTCCTCCGCCCCGACACGATCTCGAGCAGCGTCATGCCGTAGCTGAACACGTCCGCCTTCGCCGTCACGGCCGTGCCGGCGATCCACTCCGGCGCGATGTACCCCACCGTGCCCCTCGACGTGGTCAGCACCCGGCTGAAGTCGCGGCCCATGAGCTTGGCGAGGCCGAAGTCCGCAACCTTGGGAGCAAACGAGCCATCGAGCAGTATGTTTTCTGGCTTGATGTCGCAGTGTATTATGCAATCCCTGCATTTCTCGTGGAGGTAGTCTAATCCCCTCGCGATTCCAAGAGCAATCTTGTACCTCGTGTTCCAACTCAGGACGTGTTGGTTACTTCCAAAAAGATGCTTGTCCAACGAACCATTCGGCATGTACTCGTAGACGAGTAGTCTTCGAGTTTTCTCTGAACAAAACCCGAGCAATCTAATCAGGTTGACGTGTTGGATGTTGCCGATTGTGCTCACTTCTGAGCGAAACTGCTTCTCCCCCTGACGAAAACCTTCGAGCTTCTTCACGGCCACCATGGTTGCATCAGGCAGTGACCCTTTGAACACTGAACCGAAGGCGCCTCCTCCGAGCTTCTCGGAGAAATTTTTGGTCACAGATTTCAGGTCACGGTATGTGAATGATATCAAGGAACCTTCCACTCGTGTTGTTGCCTTCACCATTCTTCTTCTCAAGATGACAACCAAAACAGCTATCATGAGTAGTACAGCACCAGTAGCAAGGACAGAAAAAGTGATCAACTTCTTGGTATGCTTTTGCTTCTGTCCAGACAATTCTGAAGCAGCCAATCGAATCAAAACTGCGCTGCTGCCTTGGCTACCAATGACACTCACATCTTGCAGGTTGATGAGGTCTCTGTACCACAGTGAGCAGCTGCCATTGTAGGAGTAGGCAGTGCAAGAACATTACTTAGGCATGCTTCCTCACACTGATCAATACCTGCGGCCACCACACTCTCTGCGTCGCTTGGTAATCTTACATTAGCCATCGTGTAGAACCGATCAGTACTCCTTCCTACCACCGAGCCATTGCTGCTGCACTGCAGCTCCACGTTTCTTCTGCACCCTGAAGTGTGATCTCCCTGCAACCATTCGCCAACGTTTTGCTCACCGAAGCCACGGAGGCAGCTACAAGATGCCATTGCATTCTCGGTGCAGACACTGAACGGCCCACACAACGAGTACACGTCGCACTGCGCCTTGGGCTGCGACCAGAACAGCATCCAGTCGTTGGCGCCGTTCATCCATGTCAAGAACTGGATCTGCCCCATCTCGCCCAAGACGAACCTCGTGAGGACCGAGTCGTCCTTGAGGTCGTACACGAAGTAGCTCTCGTTCTCGCCGTTGACGTAGTCGAAGGTGTACAGCGAATTCGGGTAGCTGCCGGTCGGCGTCATCTCCGGCACGCCGGTGAAGATGCGGCCGGTCCAGTTGCCGCTTGTCCAGTACTGCAGTGTACTGTTCCATTGGAGCAGGTATTGGCTCGTGCCGTTCGGGTCCAGCTCGAGGGAGAACACGCCGGGGACTGGGTCATTGCGTGCCTTCCATGCGACAAGACGAGTGCTCACGCCGGTGAGCTTGTTCCGGCCGAGCTTGCCGCCGGGGAGCCAGGTATCGCCGAAATGGTCGAAGCTCTGCCAGAGGATGATGGAGGTGTTCGATGCGTCTGCGAGGACAAGGTTGCCGGAGTCGAGGATGACACCGACCGTGGAATTGGAGGTGAAGTTGGAGATGTTCGTGGACCAAATTGCAG